AATAGTATTTAAATCGATCTGATCAAGTGTGCATCACGTCTCCTGTTATGCGACTTCTACCTTTTTTGTTTGCATTTAATGGACACAGTCTTACGGACATTATGGAATAAAAGCCCAGGCATCTTCTGTCCCCTGGTGACTAAATGCACATTAGCAAGTCTATGTCTTGTCCTGACTCACTGCTGTGAAGCATGAGCAGAGGCTAGAAGTATCATGGGATGGTTGTGAAATGTTTAAAAGCAGTGGCCCCTTACTGCTTTTGTTCATTTCCCCCATCACGGTTTACGTATAAAGCACCGTGAGTGAAGGTAGTTGTCAGGGTTAGCTGCAGGGGTGTGGGTGTTTTCTTTCTTTATTTTTGAAGAGGTTTTATTTCAATTTTATGGGAGCCTTTCGCCCTTTCTATGGTGATCTAATTGCATTAGTTAAAAACAGCTAACCAGTTCTTTTATGCTCTCTCTAGTCCACTGTAGGTGGACAAGCTTGATTGTTTGAACCAAAATGGAAGCATCAAACGAACATCACAGCCCTCACTAATAACATTGGGACTTTGCTGTCAAGTGTAGACCCCTTCGAAAGAAGCTTGTGACCATTGTGTATAGCTTGTCTGGAAACTTCTTTAAATCTTATGTTTTAGTAAAATATTTTTTGTTATAGAAAAAATTTTTTTTAAAATTTGTTTAGTTACCCACTAACACTCTGAGCCCTTGACTTCACTTATGAGACCCTGCCCAGAGCTTGCTCCCTATGAAATAGGATGCTTCTCTGCACATGACCCTTGGCTTCCAGTTTTTAGAAAAGATAAAAGTTTTAATTTTTATTTTTTAGTTTGCTATAGGTCATGTGTGCTTGCCAGAGAGAAAATGAGAACCTCCCCTCCATCCCCTCCAGGGGGGATGACCATGCCGCAATTCCTTCTCCATTCTCTCTCAGGATTTGGGGCATGCGTACACGTGTGTCCAGTGTGCTTTTCAAGCCAGCCGCCTTAACCTCCATATCACATGCTGGCTTGTAAATATAAATTAAAATTTCTTTTTTTGGGGGGGGCTAGAGGATGTGCGTGCTCACCAGAGAGAGAGAGAAAGAGAGAGAGAGAGGAGAGGGGAGAAAGCACCCATCCACTCCCGAGGCATGGTCATGCCATAGGCCTCTCTCCTCCATTGCTCCCGCTGTTGGGATTTTCAGCACTCGCACACATGCACCCATTGTTGGGATTTTTGGCACTCGCACACATGCACCCGGCACATTTCTCAAGCCTCTGAGTCTGGGACTTATACGAGTATTTGGTCATGTGGAATCCAGCTGCCTAACCACCAGGCCATATAACTAGCCAAAAACACACTATGCATGGAGAGATACAGAGAGGGAGAAAGTGAGATAGAGACAGAGAAAGATAAAGCAAGACATCATCTCCCAGTGAGGATGGCCACATCGCAATCCCTTCTCCTCCATTCTCCTCTCTTGGGCACACACGTACACATACCCAGTGTGTCTCAAGCTGCTGAGCCCAGGACCTGAACTATGGTCGCCCATGGAGAAGTCCAGTGCCCTAATCACCATGTCACCTGCTGGCTCTGAATACACCATACTTATAGAACTTAACATTTATTCTTGTGTTGATATTGTGAGTTTAAAGAAAAAAGAGAACGTGTAGAGGGAGGTCACTACATACTTCCTGGTGCTTTCTAGGTATCATCTGTAGGCCTGGACTGGCTTGGTGCCTGCTGCTTCTCATGCAGTATGTCATTCAGTCCTCCAAACCCCATGAGGTAGGTATTGCTGATTAGCTTTATGGCAGAGGAAACTGAGGGGAAGCGATTTGCCCAGGGCACACTAGTGCTAGTGACTGAGTTGGGCTTTAAATCTGGGTGTGCCTGTCAAGTCAGCAATCTTTCTACCTGAAGGTCTAATCTGGTATCATCTCATTGTTCTGTGCATGATTTCATGAGACACAATGCTATGATAGAAGTCATGTCTAGTGCCACCCAGTGGGTTCTATTTCATGAACCAGTAGGTCATACTGCCTTACATTTAACAGGCAAGATGTGTCTAGGCAGTATGAATATTCAACTTGTCTTTGGGTTTGGACTTTTTCACATGTGACTACTGAAAGACTCCCGACTTCTAAGGATTTGTGATTATTTCCCATTTATTTAGCACTGCCTAGTATAATAGTTTGAAAGAAGTTTTTTCTTTCTTTTTTTTTTTTTAATGTTTCTTTTGTGAGGCTAGGGGCAAGGGAGCACCCATGATCTTACCCAAAGCCTCAGTCAGTGAGGATCACAGGCACATCTATAGCACCTGGGTTGCACAGAGACTTAGGGATGCAAGTCCAGGGCCTTCCCTATATGGAATCGGGAGGCATTGCATTATTGCTTTGCCACCATGACTGGCTAGGAAGCTCTTTAAAAGAAGGTATCTTAAAACCTGCAATTCTGGGACCAGCAGTTAGTGTAATGGCTATGTCGCTGGACTCCCACGTAGTCGACCGCAGTTCCGTTCTGGACCTAGTGACTTAAACTCACACCAGGCACGTGTGGGTGCATGCCTAAAATCCCAAGAGGAGAAAGGAGGAGTAGGGATTGCGACGTGGCCATCGCCCCTATTTCTTGCTTTCTGTCTGTCTTCCTGGTGAGCGCACACGCCCTATAGCAAAAACCTCTCCAAAACAAGAAACAAAAAACAAACCCTGCAAGTGAGGCACACACATGCCTTAGGACCTTGCTCTGACCTGTCCCTCTCTGATTCTTGTCTTACATATGCCCTCTTATCTCTTTCATGATTTTTTTCTTTTTTGCTGTTTTTAAATATATATTTTTATACATCCAATCACTGTGTATTAATACAGAATGCAAAGGGAATTTTCCCAGCATGAATCCACTGTGTATTAGTTCAGCTATAGATATTATCATGCATGTTATCAACAGATACTTTTGTTTTTGTCTCTTAAATGTTTTACTATTTTTCCTCCTGATTCACCTCATCTTTTTCATTATTTTTGATCAGAAATTCACCTCAATGAGGCCTACCCTGACCACTCTATTGATACTGCAACCTATTTTAACATTCTAGGCTTTTTTTTTTTTCCCGAGAGATTTTCGCATGTGCTTGCCAGCCAGACAGGGAGAGACATAGAGACAGAAAGCGAGAAATCACCCCCCAGGGCGGATGGTCACGCCGCAATCCCTTCTCCTCCATTCTTCTCTTGAGATCTTGGGCATGCACGCACACGCGCCTGGCGTGAGTTTTAAGCCACCGGGTCCGGGACGCGAACCACGGTCGACTACGTGGGAGTCCAGTGACATAGCCATTATGCTAACTGCTGGTTCCCGACATTCTAGGTATTATTTTTTATTTAAGAATTATTTATTATTAATATAATATTTTAAAAATCTGCTATAGGGGATTCACACTCATGAGAGAGAGAGAGAAGAAAAGTGAGAAAGCAAGCTGCCAGGTCCAGAACTCGAACCATGGCTGGCCATGTGGGAGTCTAGTGCTTTTATCACCAGACCTGCTGGCTCCACATTATAGGTTTAATTTTTATTATTTGTCACCATGTTATAATGTAAGCTCTACGAAGGCAGAGAACTTTGTGCATTTGAGGTTTAGAATTATTTAAAAACTGTGTAACTTTTTTTTTTTTTTTTTAAATTTTTGCCAGAGGGCATGTGTACTCACTAGGGAGAGGGAGAAAGTGAGAAACTACCTCCCACGGTGGACGGTCATGGCGCAATCCCGTCTCCTGTTTTTTCTTTTCTTCAGGATTTTGGGCATACATGGACATGTGACTGGCATGTTTCTCAAGCTCCTCATATGCCACTCGGTCTGGACTCATACCCCATAGTTGGCCATGTGGGACCCAGCTGCACTGCCTTAACCACCAGGTCAAGGGCTGACCCCAAATTGTGTAACTTTAATGTTAGGCTGGAGCTGTGCTGATGGCACAGCCAACTATGTCACATGGGGCTACCGAACTTTTGAAATGGTCTGAGTAGAGATGAGATGTAAAATATTTTTACTGTTCTCAAAAGTACTAGCTTTTACATTTGAAAAATACTGTCAGGACCAGCAGATGGCATAATGGTCATGTTGCCAGACTCTCACAAGGCCTACCACAGTTTGAGTCCTGGACCCGGTGGACTGAATCCCCAGCTTGGTTTGGTTGTGTGGGTGTGTGCCCCACATCTCAAGAGAATGGAGAAGGGATTGTGGCACAGCCATCCCTCTGGGGGGTGATTTTTCACTCTCTCTCTGGTAAATGCACACACCCAATTGCAAAAATCTCTTTAAAAAGATCGTATTTTGAACTATTTAGGATTCATTGGATTAAATAAAATACACTAATTTTACTTGTCCCTATTTTTCTTTTTTTTAGAGAGCTTTTTGCTATAGGGCACATGCACTCACCAGACAGACAGAGACAGACAGACAGACAGAAAGCGAGAAATCACCCCTCACGGGGGGATGGCCATGCCACAATCCCTTCTCCTCCATTCTCCTCTCAGGATCTTGGGCACGCACGCACACGTGCCCGGCATGAGTTTTAAGCCACTGGGTCTGAGACACGAACCACGGTCCACTACGTGGGAGTCCAGCAACATAGCCATTATGCTAACTGCTGGTCCCTGTCCCTATTTTTCTTAATGTTACTAAAAACTTAAAATGATATGTGGCCATATTAGATAGCACCGAATGACCATAGTATAGTGCTCACAATAGAGTTTTTTTGCATTAGCCACTTTTCTATTTAAATCGGTACTTATTTCATTGCATTCTTTTTTCAATGACATTAAATCCGGTGTAGCTTTTTATTCTGAATACTAACATGCACGTACAATAGAGTACAGAATATAAACAAAGTCTGTAGTCTCCTCCTCTTTTGAGGCCTTCCTTTGTATGGATAACTGCATAAAGCAATCAGAAGACATGTTTGGCTTAACTATTTTTTAGTTAATGTTTTCCTAAGTATCACCAATTCAATAACCAACATTCCCAAATTTACAGCTTATAACACAACTTTTATTAGAAAAGTTATACATAACATAGCATCAACTATTTTCAAGAACAATATTAAACCCGATAAGCAACAAAAACCAGACTAACAAAATGTGTAACAAGAAACTAATGACCTTTCTATAATCAAACATTCAATTATCTACAATGTCTTTTTACAAAGGGGGGATTCCATGGTTTACAGGCACATCATATTGAAAATAAAGCTGCAATAGCAATTTTATACAATTACCATTCTCAAGAAACTGAATCATTAAAACAGTAATTACGAGTTCACAAATTTAAAACATTTCACATAATTTAAAATTACTGAGTATACACTGAAGTCTGAGTTACAAAAGTGATTTTTTTCCCACAAAAGTGCCAACACTTAAGCTAGAACTTTCAGTGTAATTTTGCCCAAAAAGTTAAGACATGTTTTGATAATCACAATAGTCACATAATTTCTGGTGCTATCTGGTCTGTTAATAATAAAGCCTTTACTTGAATGTGTTTTTCTTCACTTAAATAGAGGAAACCGGATATAGGAGTTCAGTCGCGAAGCTATTAAAGTTCCAAACACAGGAGTGTGCAGCATTGGAGAAAAGAGGTCAGTACTAAAATTTATAATAAATATCAGAGAAGCCATTAGTTTTTACAGCATTGTCTGCTTAAAGGTTAAGTCAATCAGGTGTTTAATTTCCCATCATTTTGTCCTTTTTAGTAGGCAGGGCAATTTCTATTTTCATGATCTGAACACTCAAACGGATATATCCAAACATATTTTAAAAACTCTGATTATATAGCTCCTGAAAAGTCATCAACATTTTTTATAGCCATTTTACTCTAATAAATCTATTCCTGCTCATTTTGGAGCACCACTAAAACAACAGACTTCAGGATAGCGAAGTTCATAATGACTGGAATGCAACAATTTACAAAGTATAACAGAACACTTTGAACCAAGTTAGTTCTATCTTTTTGTAGCTGAAGGGGACCAGTCACGATACAATTTCATATACCCTTGCTCACTGTGGAACTGGACTTTAAACCCTATCTCAAGGGACCTTAGGCCCAGGTACAGTGAATAACAGTAAGATTGCCAGTGTTACTGATGGGAAGACTTTTTTTCCCCTGTCAAGGACTCACACTATAGTTCTTAATTAAAACTGTCAGGCATTTTCCTAGACAGGTTTTCCTTTTTGATGCAGTAATGGAGAACTAGATAAAAATCGTGATTTCTGATTGCTATTCAACATAATTACATGTACCAATATTGCACACATCTGTCCTGAACTGTAAAAATAATCTTCTGGGTCCTTGGGATGCTGTTTTCTCCATCAGAACACAAACATAACCCATATAAGCAGTTTCCCTTAAAGATGAAATCGATAAATTTAAAATACTGGAGAAAAATGAAGAAAAAGCAGACTTTGTACAGACAAAAATCTAATTTTTCTCAAAGGGTTTTGCGTGCCCTACACATGGGGGCAATTTGTATGTACTAGTGAAATGAACACTAGCTATAAATGTTTCTAGCTCCTCAAATAATATGGAACCTTGGTCCAGGTGTTGCAATGATGTCACTGTATGGCTCTTCCTGGGTCAGCTCAATAGCTTGCTGCTTTTTAAGAACCAAGAAGCTGTAGAACTTTGCTGCAGCCTGCTTTCGGTTTGTGTTTCGACATAACTCAAGCAAACTGATAGATTCAGCTCCAGTTTTGGCAAGAGCTCTCTGAAACAAAACAAAACAAAACAATGGATAAATTAAATTAACTTGCACCTGATGTTATACAATGACTTGACAAATATAATCAAACTAATCAAACACGTTAAATGTACTCAACCAAAAATATGAAGACTGAGATAGAAAGGAGTTCCATAAAATATCAGCATGGTTCAGCTTTTCAAGATAACCATGAGAAATCATTCTCCTGGATTCATTCCAGGCTCAATCTAAACATAGTTTATGTATTTCACTTAAATATTTAAAGATAATATTCTAGAGGAACTTTCATAAAGACATGCATTCTGTTATAGCATGTACTCTACTCCCAACCAACCCCCTTAAGGGAACAATTCCCAAGTGTCTGATGAACACGTGTGTCTCGGACCCCACAGGCATACCTGAAGACCATGAAGCATCTGCTGGGTCCTTTTGTTCCATCTTCTTTCTTCTTGATCTTGATCACCCCCTGAAGCATCTTCATCCTGAATGAAAATGAACCCCAAAAAATGAGCTGACAGAACTACTTGGCTTATATATAAAATCAAGTATTTTTTATATCTCCTAAAAGCTCTAAGTTAAAGTTATGTATTTTGCCTAACAGTAAACTGTTACCTGCTGCTGAAAACTCACTTAGCATCCAGTATGAACTTAGAAATTTGTCTTCTTACTTTACAAAACAAAGCCCTCTGTCTGTATCTATAAGCAAATATTTAGCTGAGCAAATGATTCCAAGTTTTACAGGGATGTGGGCTACACTGTGATCTACGGACTGCTACTCGTCATTGAGCTTTTGGTTAGTGGCCCCTGTTACGGAATTCAGGTGAGGCTATAAATCAACTATGCCATTTTTTTGGTAGCATACTTTTCTAGATAATTTATATTCTGGTAGACTGCTAATCTTATCATGGGCCAGTACCAAAAAGTCCATAGACTAGCTAAATCAACTAATTAGGACTGGTCTATATAATTAAAAAAAAAAAAAAAACAATCCTTAATATAAGGGAACTTCAAAAATTTTGTGATAAGAATGGAGCTAAAATACAAGTTATTCTGGTACAAAAAATTTAAACACATAGTTTTTTCATAATCCACATTTTTCATGTACTTTCTGAAGACCCCTCATATACGTTACTTTTCAAAGAAACAGAGGTCAGCAGCTTCAATATAACAAAAACTACAATTTAAAAAATGTTCATTAATTTATTCCTTCCATGAGTAAAATAGTACACTCCAGTGAGGCCTCAATACTGCAACCCACCCCCAGCTTCTCCTGGATCAGGGGCACAGGTGTCATGCACACTTAAGAAGTCTCTGCCCTTGGGAACCAGCAGTTAGCGTAATGGCTATGTCGCTGGACTCCCACGTAGTCGACCGTGATTTGCGTCCCGGACCTGGTGGCTTAAAACTCATGCCGGGTGCGTGTGCGTGCATGCCCAAGATCCCGAGAGGAGAATGGAGGAGAAGGGATTGAGGCGTGCCCATACCCCCGGGGGGTGATTTCTCGCTTTCTGTCTCTATGTCTCTGTCTGTCTGTCTGTCGAGAACACGCGCCCTATAGCGAAAAACCTCTCAAAAAAAAAAAAAGAAGTCTCTGCCCTTAAGCTTGGAACCTTACCACAAGTGGGACTGCCTCAAAAAGAGTTATTTTTTACTGCTGTGCCACCATCAAGCCCCAGAAAACACTATTTTTAGTACTGACTCAATACTAAGATAATGGTGCACTCTAGTGCATAGGTGGGAGTAAAGTAGCTCTGAGCTAAATTTTAGCTTTAAAATAATGTAGTGTTCATATCAAAGGTAAGCAGTATGTGAAATCTATGGCTGGCATAATGACAAACTAGAAATATGAAGCTAATAAAAACATATCTAATCCATAATCTTCCGCCTTAAAATTTTTTTAGTAATGGGGGAATGTGCATTCCTCAGAGAGAAATCACCCTCAGTGGGTGTGGTCATACTGTTAATTCTTTTTCCTCAAATTCTCCACCCTGTCAGAACTGTGGGCGCATACACACATCCAGCAGATTCTTCAAGCTGATGTGAACTATGGTCGGCCATGTGGTATTTGGATCACTTAACTGCTAAGCTATGAGGTTGGCCTTAGACTGGAAATAAATTTAAAAAGCTCAGTGCACCCTAACAGATACTTATTAAATATAGAAGTTCAAATAAAGTATTTGATAGAAGTTCAAATAAAGTATTTGATAGAGCATCAAAAAGAAGAATAAATGCTAAGTCTCATACAATAACCTCAAGAATCCAGAAAAAAGTGAAGAAAAAGAAAAGGGCCTTAAACAGTTAAAGCAGGCCCTAGCAATAGACACATCTACCTTTCACAAAGTCAGTTATTCACCCTTGAGTCTGTTTTAGCCAAGTCATACTTCACTCCAGTTTAATTAAAACAAAAGAAAATGCAAAACCCAAATGGGAAATACCTGGTTATCTGACTCTCCGGCCATAGAGGTTATACCAGAGGCAGACAACAACAGCAGTAATGCTAACAGTAGGAGCTGGCCACTGACCACAAGACATAAAAGCAACTAACAAGCAACTTAGAAAGAAAGGCGAGAAACCAGTGCAAGGGTAGTCCCGTGTCCTTCAAAAGCCACAGGAATCAAGAGTTATATACAGTACAGCATAAAATTGAAATTTCTTTAAAGATTTCTTTAAAGATTTTTTTTTAAAAGAACTATTTAACTTTATTTATTGATTGATTTAAATTTGACCAGAGAGGGACAGAGAGAGAAAGAGAAAATGAGAAAGGAAGTGACCAGATCCAGGACTCGTGGGAATCGAGCGTCCCCAGCCACCACGCCATGTACCAGTTCCTAAAATGGGATGTTCTTAATAATGATCTATGCTACTAACAATTTGATTAAATTTGGCTTATATGTGAACATTTTTCCATCACTCTGATGCTCAACATCAATTAATTTAGCTCCCATGAAAAGTAAAAAACAGATTAAATATTTTTGTCCTGGGAATCTATTCGTCAGTTACCTATTTCACAGTTTCCTTACCTCCTCCTCTTCATCTTCTTCTTTCTCCTTCTCTTTCTCCTTCTCCTTTTCTGGCAGAAGTTCTAACTCTGGTATTAGCTGACAGATATTTGGAGGCTCTTCTGGGGGAAGCTCTACAGGTGGTATTTCCATCTGCTCTACCTGCTGAGGCTTAGAGCAATAAAAATAAAGCAATTAGGATGCACATCTTAAGGGTAGCTTCTTTTAAATACGCAAATACACAGTTGCCAAAATTTTTTAGATAGAAATACCGGAGTTATATCTTCATTACTCCCAACAATCAAAAAACTTGATTATAGCATGTACTTGTTGTTCTTTTACTATAAAGCTACATTAGAAATTAACCATCATCTTACTACCCTCAAATCTGTTTCATTTTACACTTCTGTTTTAGGAACCAAATATGTACTTAAAAAAAAAACCATAGCTTTCTCCAGTAGCATTTTAAAAAAGAAATGAGAAGACAATTTTTTCTGGGTCTATTTTTGTTATTTCCTTCCTCTCAGGCCTTATACAGATAAATATTTTTACCAACAACTCCTTACCACCAGAGGGCTCAGAGAACTAGTTCTTTAAATTGGCAGAGTATTCTTTTGCTAAACCCTTTTGATGGAGGCTGAAGCAGGAACCGAACAATATCAGAAAGCCTCCCTTTGCTCAAAATAATTTGTTCTACTGTTAAGACTGCTTCTGCCTAGACTAGGGTACTTCAAAAGGGCTCCCTAAATACTATTTGCTACAGACTATATGAATACCTTCAAATGTCTTGAGGAATAGATTTACTTACAGGCATTACAGGCTCTGGGTCAATCTGTCCAGCTTTTCGCTTAACCCCTTGAGGTGGTGGTGGGGGCATGGCTGACTCATCCAAGTTCGTTCTGCTGGCCTCCATCACTGACTCCTGAAGGCGGCTTGGTTCTTCCAAAATGGGCTCATCTGTAATTGGCCACGTGAAGAGACTTAGGTTGTGCAATTTTGAACAGTATTTTAGAACCACTTACTTGTGAAACTAGTACAGTAAGATAGACATATTTTCTCTAATAAAGGTGATCAAATAAAACTTTACCTCTACACAGATTACTTAATTTAAAACATAATGTAGACAGTCTATTTTTGGAGTTTATTTATTTTTTGCTATAGGGCGTGTGCTTGCCAGAAAGACAGAGAGAGATAGAAAGTGAGAAATCACCCCCCCCAGGGGGTATGGCCATGCCGCAATCCATTCTCCTCCATTCTCTCGGGATCTTGGGCACACACATACATGCCCGGTATGAGTTTAAGCCACAGGGTCTGGGATTCGGACCACGGTTGACTACATGGGCGTCCAGTGACATAGCCATTACGCTAACTGCTGGTCCCAATGTAAAGTCTTATAATGATAGTCCCATCTCTAGCCCCAAGGATAATCCTTTGGCAGACTACCACCAACCTGGCCCATCCTGAACCTTAAACCTTTCTGAAGACAGAAAGCTTAATACTAAGAAAGCAATCTGCCCCCAAATTAAACAGTACCCTTTTATTCCTGATTCCTTTTACTCTGGCAATATAAAGGTAAACTTTAAGACAAATACTTATTTAAACTTCATCAGGGGAACTATTCTAATAGAACGGACCGATAACATCACGCTGCTGCTGCTGCTGCTGCGGTTGCTGTTCCTCTCTAGGAACCTCTGGATTTTCGAATTCTTTGAGGAACTCATCCAAATTATCTGCCTCTCCTCCTTTCCTCCTTTTCCTAAGGTCTTCTGGTACGAGTGGTGTAAGACAGCGTGTGAAAAGCTATTTAAAAAAAAAGAAAGAAAAATTAAATTATAAAATTACAAACTGGAAACCCATCACTAACATTTCTAGTATCTATAAGTTCCAAAAAATACAAGTTGTAATTATTTATGTATAACAACATTAGAAATTAACCATTATTTTATTACCCTCAAACGTGTTTCATTTTACACTTTGGTTTCAGAAATCAAATATTTAGTTGTATGAATTTGACTTGGTGTTATGTCATATTCACACTTCACTATCTTAAAAAGATTTTAAATGGGCTTTCAGATTGTAACTACAATTTTTCTTCTTTTTTGGGGGTAGAGATTTTTGCTATAGGGTGCTTGTGCTTGCCAGAAAGACAGAGAAACACAAAGCAAGAAATTACCCCTTGGGAGGATAGCCACATCACAATCCCTTTTCCTCTTGGGGTTTTAGACATGAATGCACATGTGCCCAGTGAGTGTTAAACTGCCAGATTAAAACTAAAACTGAGGTGGACTATGTGGGGAGTCTAGTGACGTAACCATTATGCCATGTGCTGCCCCATAACTGAAATTTTTAAAAAGTTAAAAATGTTTTACTTCATTTCACAGCTCCAAGGTTTTAAATTTATTGGTCTGCAGTTTATCTGCATATTTATAAGTTTAAAACTTTATCATAGCAACATAATATTCCTTTGAGACACTGTATGCATACAGATTTCATGATTGAAACACTCCTTTTTTAGTTTCTCTCCTTTAAAGTGTAAACAATAATACAATCAGCATCTTTACAGAAGTTCGTCTTTCCATATTTAAAATTATTTCCTTATGAAATATTTCTTTCTTTTTATTTATTTATTTTTTTTTTGAGAGGCTTTTTGCACGAGCGCTTGCCAGAAAGACAGAGTCAGAGAGACAGAAAGCGAGAAATCACCCTGGCCACGCCGCGATCCCTTCTCCTCCATTCTCCTCTCAGGATCTTGGACATGCACGCACACGCGCCTAGCATAAGTTTAAGCCACCGGGTCTGGGACTTGAACTGCGGTCGACTACATGGGAGTCCAGCGACATAGCAATTACGCTAACTGCCAGTTCCATTACGAAATATTCCTAAGACTACTAAATCAGGGAACAAATATTTTAAGGAGCTTCTTCAAATGATTATGTGACAGTGCTTCTAATAAAGAATAATTTCACCATAACCTTGCTGCTTTAGAAGACTTTATTTAGCTTTAAGATAGAGTAAAACACACACTGAAATAAATTGGTTCTATGCATGTTTCAATGTTAGAATAACAGCCTAACAGAATGGATCATCAAATACCTCTGAAAGTTATTTTAGGATAGTTCAGATCAGTGTAAGCAGAAAAGGTGTACCACTGAAAAAAGAAAAATACTCTTAAAGCTAGAACCTCTCTTTCTTTTTTAATTTGCTAAAGGGCACACGCACTCTTAGGAGGTAGAGTGGAGGGTAAAGTTGGGAGAGAGCAAGCGAGAAAATGAGAAAGCATCACCCACGGGGGTGTTACAATCCTTTCTTCTCCATTTCTCCTTTTGGGACTTTGGCAACACTTTCACGTGCCTGGTGTGTTTTTCAAGCCACTGGGTCCAGTTGGCCATGTGGGATCCAGCCACCTCAACCTAACTACCCATTCCAGCTAGCCCCAAACCAGAAAACTGCGATACAAGTACAAGCACTCTGTGTAGCTGTAAAGAACATGGATTTTTTTTTTTTTGGGGGGGGGAGAGGTTTTTGCTATAGGGCACATGCGCTCGCCAGACAGACAGACAGAAAGTGAGAAATCACCCCCCAGGGGGGATGGCCATGCCGCAATCCCTTCTCCTCCATTCTCCTTTCAGGATCTTGGGCACGCACGCACACGCGCCCAGCGTGAGTTTGAAGCCACCAGGTCCGTGACGCGAATAGCGGTCGACTACATGGGAGTCCAGCAACATAGCCATCACGCTAACTGCTGGTCCAAGAACACGGATTTTTAAGTACGGTTCACATTAAGGCAATATAATAATGAGTACAAATTGCTGATGAGAGTATTACTATTAAAAATGTCAGTGCCTTTCTAATATAGGAAAAATTCATTCCACCTGCTTTAGAAGTTTAGCAGACCCATCTACAGTCAGCCATCTATATCTGTGGGTTCTTCACTCGTGAGATCAACTGAACCAACTGCAGATGCAGTCAGGCCATGCCAATTGTTACAAAAAGGGGCAAAAGATGGTTCCCTACAGAGATGCTGAATAAGTTTATACATTTTCCGTTTTACTATCTGATACAAAAACTCCTTACAAGTAATCAAGCAATGATTTAAAGTATATGGGGAAGATGGGCATAGATTAAACACAAACATTAGGCCATTTTATATAAGGGTCTTGAGGATACATGGATTTTGGTATTCACAGAGACCTAAAACCAATCCACCACAGATACTGAGGAAGGCCTGTATTTCAGGTAAGGTTCTGTTCAGTACACTGTGATTTGATGGAGGATGAAGAGTATATTCCAGATAAAATTATATTCAGTATACTGTGGTTTAAAGGAGAAAAGGAAAGGTACCATATGGTAGAAAAATATGTGACTGGGCCAGCAGACGGCGTGATGGCTAAGGCAGCTAGATCCCACCCACATGGTTACTCAGTGGTTTGGGTCCCAAATGGCACCCTGGAAAACACGCTGGGGGCACGTGCACCTAAAATTCCAGAGAGAGAAATTAGAAGCAATTATAGGATGACCATAGCCCATGGAGGGTGTGCTTTTTTCACTTTCCCTCCCTCCCTGTCTCTTTCTTGCCAAAAAACAAAACAAAACAAAACACTTGATAAAAACTAAACCAAATGAAAGTTTTAGAAGTTAATTTTTAAATGGTCAAAATGAATTAGGTTGTCAGCAAAGTCATGACATTTTTTTCTATGCAAAAATGCATCATGACTTTTCCAATGACCTATATGAAATAAAAATTACTGCTAAGAGTATTACCTTCAGTAGTCTGTTATTCCATAAAGGCTGAGCAGGTAAAGAGAAAAGTTTTTCCACTCCTCCCGTCTCTTTCCACATCATCAATTTCTTGGTGGGTGGTGCCAGATCCAAAGTAGTAACAATATCAGAATAATCACTAAGTTGGGCTCTAATCGTCTTGCTATCCAACTCTTTAACACTATCAACAATTAGCTTCCTCTTCCTCTTGGCTTTTGTTTCTTTGACTGGGATGATAAAAGAAAGTAAGGTCATTTCCAGAGAGGCTACCTGGAACCTAGAGCTACCAGAGCTAGCCTACTACTGTATCCCCTGCTTGTCTACACACAGACCTTAGTAAGAAAGTTCCACCTCAAGAGGGCAAGAAACATCTTAACTAATATTTTCAATCACATTTAGAACGGAGGCTAGCACACAAAGGCGTTCAATAAAAATTTGCTCAACAAATAAATACATGTAGACTTTTAGCACAAAATGAGCAAAACAATGCAAGGGCTAATATGTTTTTATTGATGTAGCTTTATACTACTAAAAACACTGAACATATCACAATTAATTCACAGTTTGGTTCAAGTCCTGGATTTTGACATTTACTAGCTGTGTGGCTATAAAGAAAAGTTACCTTTACCTTGTTAGGTTTCCACTTTGTCATTTGTAATAGGGACAACCACTTACAGGGACTGTAAAACAGTTAGCATAGTATCTGGTATAGACTGAGTCTTCTATAAATGACTGCTGCTGGGTAAAGTAAAATAAATCTGAACTCTGGCAAATGAACCTGGAACTCTACCTGAGATACTTTCTTTATTTGTTCCTAATCCTTAAAACCATGCAAAGTAGGTAACACTATTGAAACTTTTTAAGAAAGAGAAAGGCTTAAGAGATTAATAAATACTTTAAGATTTCATTCTATAAGGTATGTGAGACCTTATAGGCTTCTCTATATAAAACATTCATAAGGCTCAAAACTATAAAAGATCATTTGATATATAGTGAGTTTCTCTTTAATTCCTATCCTCCCAAGTTCTTTTCTCTGACAACAGAAGTTTAAGTTCTTATAATAGTCCACAAAGATTATCCTATTTTAAAACACTGTGGTGTATCTCAAAATTTCATTCTCCTTACTTCTTTTAGTTATCTGTAATGTCTGTCACTACCACAGTAATATTTTAATGTTTCTCTAATTAGTATTTGATTTCTAAGAGGATAAAAATTTACTCACTGTTTTATCTTTAGTTCCTAAATAGAACCAGGTTCATAGTAAACACTCTTAGAGACCAGAAGCCCAAGTCGAAATTTTTGGGGGGATCAGATTACTCTCATTAAAAAAAAATCCCCAAATTAATCTTATTCTATTCGAACATAAAAACTGTCTTGAATTATACTAATTTATTTCAAGCATTTTACTTCAGCGTTCCCATAAAAATCTAGAAATTTTAAACTTCCACATCCCAACTACATACCCTGAAATTGCCTTTTACTCAAGCAGCCTCAATGATATGTTTTGCAATGTTTCCTAATGAGTTTTAGTGCTTAGTAAGCACACAAACATATACAAAATTTCTTGTGAACTGTTAAAAAGATGACTAATTTTTAAACATTTGGTATTTCCAGTTTATTAAAAGAAAAAAAAAAGCATTCTTATATCTTTCCAGATTGCAGCACAACTGTACAGACTCTTTAACTTTGAAAGATAAGTAATGAGTCAACCTTATACTTTGTTAAATGCCCTGCAAGTTTTCTGTTACACATGTCAGCTGCTAACATTCTGGGAACCCCAAAAGACTAAGATATACAATAGCAGAAGTTTTATCTATGCTTCTAGTATTTCAGAGCAACTTGTACAGATATTCCACAAATTACTCAAATTATAATTAAATCAAGTAAAGACTCTATAACAAGTGACTATAACAAAAGAGAAAGCAGTTTCATTATCTAAAACAGCAGCAGATCAGCAGACAGGCAAGAGTTAGAACTAGGACCTATGTTCTACATTGTATAAATCTAAAGATCTGTTTGTTTGCTCACCAGTTATATCAATAGGTTCCAAAGCAAATGCTTCTTCCTCATTCGGAACAAGTGTTGTTTGATCAGTCATAGTTGGCATTGGTTCAACGGGATCCACTGAATCAGGACTATCAGGCCCACCCACTGTAAGAGTAAGTATAGTCACAAAATGTTTGAGTGTATATCCTACAAGTGGGGCGGTGGTGGCTGAGGGTCAGGGTGGGCTGGGGAATTCCCTCATAAAACAAAACAATACCCCGAACCTTCTAGACTTGAATCTAATTGGTACGAAAAGGGGGAGAGGCACAAAGCTACCCATATAAGAGAACCTGCAATATATTTAAGGATTTTTCTGGTTCATTTAAAACGAGAACTTTTAGTTTGCAGTCTTCTATGTTAATTATCTTTTTGGATGGAAACACTCACCCTTAGAAACCGAATGGGAAAGGCTTACTTGACACGTTATCGTCCTCGTCCATGTCATCATGTGCGGGCTGCTCTGGCAACATCACCCCTGCCTCAGAGAGGGCAGGGGGATCATCAAAGATACCGCCATCATTATTACTAATAAGTTTGTCATCTGGAACAGGGAAAGTAAGTAACTACTTTGAAAAAACAGATGCTGAGAGAATAATAGTCAATCATTGCAAAAATGAAATTATGTTAAAATGGATCAAATTTAAATCTGTACCAGTATGCATCTGCTTCTCTTTAAGATAGTTCACGAGTGTAAGCTACTCAGTATATAAGAAAAACTTTTCATTCATCATTTATATTTTCTAGTTTTATACCTATTTTAAAGATGTATTCAACACAGACATCAAACACATAGAGCAGTGTTAAGAATTAAAGCTTAAAACTCTGAGACAAGCATCTTTTCACATACTGGGTCATCAAGAAAGTAATGACCGTATTTTTCTATGCTTTTTATGCAAAAATGTGTCATGACTTTCCCAACGATCCAATATACGTACGTACCTAGATAGCTGCTTGAGACTCAGAAGTAGTAACTACTCTAAAAACCACAAAACTGAATAAAGAAATTATGTTAGAATAACTACTTTGGGGCCAGCAAGTGGTGTGGGGGTTAAGGTGCTTAGACACCCACATGGCTGACTACAGTTCTGAGTCCCAGACCTGACAGCTTATTTTTTCATTTTCCCTCTCTTGCTGTCTGTCTCTCTCTGGTGAACATATGTGTCCTATAGCAAATTAAAATGTAATAATAATAATTATAAACTTAAAAGAAAAAAAGCAAAAAGAATAAGCACTTTGTTGATACCTACCTAATATACCACCATCATTTCCTTCTCCAAAATTGTCATCCTTATATTGGTCTTCATATTCTAAATGGTTAATCTTCTCGTTCAGATTGCTGGTGCTCTGCTCAGGCTCTAGCAGGAGGTTAGAAGCGCTAGTGCTCACTAACATGTCATCATCCTCGAAAGCACTGCCTTCTCTCATGATCTCACGATCATCCATTCCAAAGTCACCTAAACAAATGTTGGTAAAGGCATTAGTTGAAAAAGGTTGGAAATAATTAAGATGCTTCATTTGTTTTTGATGTCTTATTTTTGAATTGTAAAACATCTAGTTTATACTTTGTCTCTTAAAAAATTATTATTGTTTTTTCACATAGTTTTACTAGAGAAAGACGGGGTGGGAGGAGGAAATAATTGGGGGGGAGAGGGGAGAGAGAAAGCAAACCACCAGCTCCAGAACAGCTGTTGGCCATGTGGGAATTCCAACACCTTAACCACCACACCACCTGCTGGCCACTATACTTTAAGTCTTTTACATCCAAATTTCATAAACTAGCCTTAAGTATACACACTTTTAACTGTGAGGCTCAACTAGCAAAATTCAATCTCAGATTCAAATTACAGTTATCGTAAATATGTATGTATATTAAAGTTATATTAATAGTCAGATTTAACTGTCATAATGTGTTTTCATCAAAAGAATTTGGAATGCTATGTTTTACATACCTAAGTTTTTGAACCTAAGTAGGAACAACAATGTATCTGTTTCAACTCCAAAATAATCATTTTAAACATGAGCACTACATTAAACGTAACACCTACAGTGCTACAACATAATTGCATTATTTTAGCTACTGGCTAGTGGTATCTTTCTCTTTTACCAAAATCATTTTCTTGTAAGATACTGATGTTCCCAACTTCTTCTCTCATGGTGATCTCTTCCACTCTACTCTGATTCAGGCTGAACTGCTGGGCCACATCGATGTCACTTTAAAAGAAATTCAAATACATTTTAGTCAAGTCTCTTTGCAATGTACTAATAAGAAAAAAAATCCCAATTCTCTCCGTAAAGAAAACTTAAACAAGTTTTAATATTTAATACTAAGTATTAAATAGTAAGGGGTCTTAATATTTAATACTAAATAAATTCTGATACAATAAAAAATGTGATTGACTGGGAAGCTAATTTAATTTGTACCTTTTAAAAATTTAATTTTGTTAGAGGGCATAAGTGCTAACTGCAGAGAGGGAGGGAGAAAGTGCATACATACTCCATATGAGGGAGTCACGCAGCAGTCCCTCCATTTCCCCTTTGGGGATTTTGGACACGGATATACGTGTCACTGCTGTGTTTCTCAAGCTGCTCGGTTCAGGACTTGAACTGTGTGTGCTAGCCATGTGAGATACAGCTACCTCAACTACCATGCAACTGCCTGGCAACATTTGAACTCAAATTTTAAAGACATTAATGATGAGCAAGCAAAATATAATAGGCTAAAATTGCAAAAGAAGGCAATATGGTATACAAAGAGAAAAACTAGAAATGGTGGGCTAGATAAGGCATGTGCTTTTATGAGGGCTCTGCATGGTACTGGTTATGTGAACTATGAAGGTGTTTATGAAACACAGTTTCTTTTTCTAACAAATAAAAATAATCTCTCATACAGTTTAAAAATAGTACATAAAAAAACAAAAATTTATATAGTTAAGTATTCATCTGGAATCTTACTGGCCAAATTCAGAATGTAGATAACTTCAAAACAAATGACGAGATCTGTTCAGCAAATAAATGGGAAGGGGAAAAAACCTGACAGATGCAGAGCTGTTATAGTTTCTTAACAGACTCAGGAGATAAATCAACCAAATGCAATTTGTAGACTATGTATAAACCCAACTCAAAAAAATGAAAAAAGAAAAAAAAAAAAAAGAAAAAGCCTATGTGTCCACCAGGGATATTTAAATGCTGACTAGATATTACATTAAGAAATTATTGGTAATTGTTTTTACAGATGTGATTTTTATGGCTGTTTTAAAAATTTCTTATGAGACAAATATAATGCAGTGGGGGATGGGAAACAGTTGGAAAAATTCAAATAAAACAAAACTGGCGACATATCTATAATGAAAAACTGAATGAAGGATACATGTGGTTATAATACTCATTTATTTTTTAGCTGTGTTTTAAAAATTTGATAAAATTTTTGAAAAATGACAAGAGAAAAAGAAACAGTAATATAGCTAGGTAGTGCCTAGTACTATAATTAATACACACACTGTCAACATAGCTCATAATTTTAAGTAGGAGTCATAGGTCATTTCAAAAAGCAGAAAAATGTCATCAATTTAACATGCTTTATGAAAAGTACTTCTTGGTTGTCAACTGTGCTACTCAATCACTTGGAGAGCTACAGTCACATTTCCCATTTAGGGTATGACAGCTGAACTTTAAGGACTTGAGAAGGAAACGGCCTATCACAGTTTTGTCCTATAACAGCCATCTCTATTAGCCATCTCTGAAATGTGTGTTGTGACAATGACCCTTTCTTGAGTAATAAATACTTCTGAAAGGCAATAGTTGAAGTTTACTAATTACATCAAGCACACACCTGAAAAATTGTTCAGTTTTAGCCAAGGTAAAGTTGACACACACATAATTTTCTTATGCATTTTAACTCCATCTTAACTCAGTTTCAAACATTCCAAGGAAAACTATATATTTGGAATTCAAGAATACGCTTTTTGTAGACTAAGCCAATAATTGCAAAGACAGACAGACATACTCTAAGTCGGGCAGTGGCTGATCGAAGTCATGAAACTCTTCAGGTAAAGTAATGGCATTATATGCTGCCTCCCGATTTTCCTCAGGCAGATCAACAACACCTGGAAAAGAAATGCCAGTTTTAAGACTGAGGAACACCACAGATATCTAAGCATCAAAGGGAAGTGAAACTAGTATAATTTCCAAAGTTATATATTCTAGAAGGTTGATAATATATACAAAGTACCATGAGGAAGAGAATTTGTTTTTCTGTGATAATAAGCTATATTATTATTATTATTTTTTTTTTTTTTGGAGAGGTTTTTGCCATAGGGCGCATGCGCTCGCCAGACACAGACAGACAGAGAGACAGAAAGTGAGAAATCACCCCCCAGGGGGGATGGCCATGCCGCAATCCGTTCTCCTCCCAGGATCTTGGGCATGCACGCACACGCGCCTGGCGTGAGTTTAAGCTGCCGGATCCAGGACTCGAACTGCAGTTGACTACGTGGGAGTCCAGTGACATAACCATTACGCTAACTGCTGGTCCCAATAAGCTATATTATTTGCTTTACCAAAAAAGTCAAAGTACTGATTAGGCATCAAATTGACACATCAACACATAAATATGAATAATGCTTTGTTTTGTTTTTGTCACAGGGAGTTTGTGCTGGCCAGACAGAAAGTGAGAAATCGCCCCGCAGGGGAGATGGCCATATCATATCATAAACTATTCTCTCTTTTCTTGGAATTTTGGCATGTACACACATGCAGGAGGGCCCAGCGTGATTTTCAAGTCACTGGGCCTAGGACTTAAATCGTGTAGCTGGCCATGTGGGGTCCAGTATCCCAACCTCCGTGTCACCTCTGGCTCCTAAATAAGTTACTTAATTATGCATAAAAGCATAAAATGTGTGAGAAAAAAAGAATGACTATTGTAAAAAAGTACCCAAGATGTTAAAAAAAAAAAAAGGTTATTTTAGGGAAAGTGAGACTACACGACTTTTATTTTCAAGCCATTTATAGTAAATATCTATTAACTCGAACAAACTGTTAAACAAAATGCATTTAGTGGATACAGTGTGTGTGGTGGGTTCCTTCAAAGTTTGTATTATATAAAAAAAAAGTATGCATGCATTTCAAAGTTTTTTGCACCAAACTAAACTCATACTTTAATTCCATCTTCTATGGACTTTTTGAAGTCCCTTTGTATGCTAGAAATCACTCAGTTAAGTATTACAGTCGTTGATTAAATGTTTCTTTTAAATAAAATCTTAGAACTCGAGCATTTTACTGTTAATATACTAAACCTCAGTAGAAACTAAAGTATAAAGCATCTCTCTTACACATTCAGACCATTTTATAATTACAATGCACCTTCATCAATGCTTTAAAAAGTTACAGAATTCAGAAACTGATCTGAGTATTTACTCAGATCAGGTTAGGGCTAGAATTTGGCAATATAGTCAAGTTCTAGAACCAATCATTACCTAAAACACAGTAACAGGGCTGCATGGCCAGCCGGTTAAGGGAGCTGGGTGCCATATGACACTCATGTGTGCATGCCCCAAATCCTGAAAGGATGAATAAATGGAGAAGGGACTGAGGCATGACCACACTCACCAAGTCCTTCTCCAGCCTGTGCACATACCTTCTGGCAATTAAAAAAGAAAAGAAAACAAAAAACAAAAAACAAAATCAAAACAGAAGAAAATCTAGAAAAAACATTTACGGGAAAGTTAAGAGTGAATTTGAGGAACCAGCAGGTGGTGTGATGGTTACACTGCTGCACTCTGATGTAGTCAACCACAGTTTGAGTCCTAGACCCAGCAGCTTAAAACTCATTCTAGGCAGGTGTGCCCAAGATTCTGAGAGGAGAACAGAGAAGGGATTGCCATGGTCATCCCCCCTGGGGGAAGTGACTTATTTTCTTTCTGGGGAATACACATACCCTATAGCCAAAAAATTTGACTTTAGGGGTACACTAAAATTACTCAGAAAAAAATAAAAATACTATCATTGTCTTTTCTGACCTGTATACTTTAAAAATTAATTAATTTGAGAGATGGGGGTAAGGGAGATAAACTGAATTTATTATTATATATTTTGTTACTTTATGTATTTATTTAGTCCCTGTATATTACTGCAGCACACAAAATGAATTTTCCCAGCATGAATACATTGCATATTAGACCAGTTAAAGACATCTGAATTTTAACAAGGTCTCTCCATGTCGGAATCTTCCTGCTGTAGTTACCTAGGACGACAGGTGTATGCCCTAAGGCCTGGCCTGTTTAGGCAGAGCTGGGAATCCAACTCAAGCCTTTCCATGGGGCCCCAGTTTCAAAGCAGCAAAGTGTCAGTAGCATGTGTCCTAGCAGCTAAGCCCATATGAACTACATTTTTAAAATCATCATTTATGGGAACCAGCAGTTAGCATAATGGCTATGTCGCTGGACTCCCACGTAGTCGACTGTGGTTCGTGTCCTGGACCCAGTGGCTTAAAACTCACGCCGGGCGCGTGTGCGTGCGTGCCCACGATCCCCAGAGGAGAATGGAGGAGAAGGGATTGCAGCGTGACCATCCCCCCTGGGGGGTGATTTCTCGCTTTCTGTCTCTATGTCTCTCTCTGTCTGTTTGGCGAGTGCACACGCCCTATAGCAAAAACCTCTCCCCCCAAAACAAACAAACAAACAAACAAACAAACAAAAAAAACAAAAAAAACCACATCATTTATCAATTAGGTTAAACATTTTAACCTCTGATGACTCAGAGGTGGGAAAAAAAGGGTTTTTCAAAAAAAGGGCAGTTCCAAAGCAATAACAAAGTCTTCCATCATTCCATAGGTTGAACAGATACAAGTAAAGTGGGCTTCCTCCCTTGACCTTCTAAGCTTTGCCTATCTTTGAAGAGTTCTATGTATTACAATAAAAACAAAATGCTGATCTAGAGTGTATGTTCAAAAGTTCTCTCCACACACACACAGAAAAAGAAGAAGAAAATTCAATACCTGGCCGAAAAGCCATCTTTATCTTGATGAATGCTTCATTACAGTCTGCAAGGAGATATTTGGCTTTCCTGTGATAGATTCGAACTACTCCCAGTAAGAGATGTCCTGATGTTCGGAGTGCCATCTTCACCTATGGATAAAACATTGCTAGTAATGTAATTTATAAAGCTAATTTTACAGTTTTAGAGGTAATTAGACTTCAAAGCTTGCATCTTGTGCTATTTACAGGGAGTTATTAAAATCTCTTCAAACCTCTTATCTATTTAAAGTTAACCTTAATAATCTGTATTTTACTTTTGCTTTACCTGTACATCTCTGAGCATCATCAAAAGACAGACTGGGTAGCAATTTACAAGTTAAGACAGACATGAAAGGATTAGCAGGTGGCGTAATGGGTACATCGTTGGACTCCCATGTAGCTGTGGCATGGCCACTCCCCCTTGGGGGGTTGATTTCTTGCTTTCTGTCTTTCTCTGTCTCTCTAGTGAGTGCATGTGCCCTAAAGTAAAAATCTCCCTCTAAAAAGATAAGATAGACATGAAGGTAGGAAGCAGGTACTAAGCCATTTTATGAACTGTGTCATTAGCAAACTAAGTAGCATATGACACTTTCAGTTGCCAATCCAGAGGGGGTACTGCTGCTTGATGGCTACTTAAATTCTGATTTTATTTCCTAAGCACACATCCCCACCCTTAAAAGATGATTATCTCATTCCTCTTTGCTAATGCTAATGCTTGTTCCCATTAGAATTTAGTGAACTGAAAAATAACGTATGCCAGTGAGATATTCTGAGAAAGATTTTTCTCAACTAAAGAAAGAATGCTGGGGCCCAGCAGGTGGTGTGGTGGTTAAGGCGCTGGACTCCAATATGGCTGACCACGGCTCAAGTCCCAGACTTGGCGGCATGAAAATCACTAAGACCTGTGTATGCCCAAACTCCCAGGAAGAAAATGGAGAAGAGGAGACTGCAGCGTGATTATCCCCCAGGGGGATGATTTCTCACTTTCCCTCTTACTGTCTTTCATAAGTACACCACCCTATAGCAAAAACCTTAGCAGATGGCGCAATGGCTACGTCACTGGACTCCCATGTAGCAGACCCTGGTTTGAGTCCCGGACCTGGTGGCTTAAGATCACGCCAGGCACGTGTGCATACGTGTCCAATATCCCAAGATGAAAATGGAGAAGGGATTGCAGCATGGCCATCCCTCTGGAGGAGTGTGATTTCTCGCTTTCTATCTCTGTCTGTCTGGCAAGCTCATGTGCCCTGTAGTTTAAAAAAAAAAAAAAAAACAAAAAACCTCTCTCCAAATAAAACCACAATAAAACCCCCAAAAAACCATCTCTCCCCTTCCCTGTTTGTGAATATGTGAAGTTTGGAGAGGTATGCAGTCACTCTAACAACTCCTGCCAAGAAATTGAGAATATGAGTCCTTGGATGATACTATACAGCTGCTGAACTAATCCTAGATCTCCCTGTTTCCAAACATCTATTGATAGTTAAGGTACAATGTTATTTCACCATTGAAGGCATTTTTTTTTTCTTACTAAGTTTGTGTTAATTAGAAAACATTTAGTTATACTGATAATGGCACCCATCTTTTTCCATCAGAAAATACATTCTCCAGACTATTTTTTCTAAGATGTTGATCTCGATCAAACTAATGTGGGAACCAGTATGTGGAATGAGAAGTACTTGGGAAAAGAATGAGACAAGCAAACAGCCCATGGAAAGAGAAGTATTCAGAATTCCTCTGGGCTGGCCCAGTAGTTTACTGGTTAAGGGAACCAGATCCCATATGGCCAACTGTGGTCTGAATACTGGCCCCACCACCTTGATAAACACGCTGGGCACACATGTGTACACCCAAGACCCTGGCAGAAAGAAATGGGAGAGATGGGTTTGCAATGTGACCACATCCCTGTGAGGGATGCTCTCCTTTCTGTCTGGCTATAGCCCTCTGGCAATGAAAAACAAAACCAAACAATCACAAAAATGTCTGTCTATAAAGAAAATTTTTTGAGAGAACAAGACAATATGAACTCAAGACATCCCCAATTTTCCAAATCACACCATAACATTTACCAAATTTGAACAATTACAAAAAAGTTGCTAAACATTTGCTTAAGGTTTTAATTATGATTAGCGCACTATGTTATTAATAAAATAAAAATGTGTTTTTAAATTGTATGTGTACTTTCTATGGTACTCTAGAACACTACTTAGAGAACTCTCAGGCTCTATGTTTACGGATCCTTTACATGATTTATAGCATATACTATACAGTTTACTTTTACAAATGTGTAGATATCCAAAGTTACAAATTTATCAAATCTAGGACTTAGACAATAAATCCCTGACCCCCCAAAATTCCATTTAAAACACTGCTCTTAATGGGAAAACAGAATCTACTTTTTTTGTGGTCTTATAAAATTTGAAATCAAGTGCACTTTACCCCCAGGAAGGAGAAGGAAAAAAATACCTCGGCTTGCCATTAGCTTGTCTACAGAATTAGCAACTGTAAAACAGTGGTGTTGGACAAAGGCTTTTTGGATTAGTTTGGTTCAAAGTTTTAGGCCTGGAGGAGGTAAAAGGAGGTTTAGCACTTTCCCTTTTCAGAATGATAAAAATATAATAAAAGCTGGCTATATATTTAGGGAAGGCACTGTAGTAGGTGCCAGTGGTGCTTGCAATGGGAAAGAAGAGGGAGAGCCTGTGAGTGCACTGTTGCAACCGAGCCACATCTGACACTTGTTTTAACAACTAAGCCAACATTTCCCATGAGAACTGCATACCAAAGCAAACATTTGAAATTTTCATGTCAGTTCACTCTGTGGAAGTATCTTCACATCCCATTTTAAAAAGACAACAAAAAAACCAACAACAATCAAATAAAATTTAGAAACAAAGTTTAACGTAAACTATTTACTGTCTCATACATACAACAATCTTTTTACATTTTTCCTGAACCAAATGCTTTGCTTTGTGGCTGTTAGTGCACACCTTCATATATGAGATTGCATCATGCTCATTTCTATTTCTAATGTGGTACAAAGTACTCTGCACATACTATATAAAAAAAAAGTGATCCCTTTAAGCTAGGGCTCTCTCAATATTTGCTTATGGATATTAAAGATTAGCTACACATATCCATTTCTAGAAGAGTGTTATTTCTCCCTTTCCCATTTACTTATCTCAGTAAACATACCTATTAAAAAAAAAGAAAAGAAAAAAACACATTCTCATACAATTTGACCAGCAATTCAAACTAGTAAAATTTTACTGGAGCAAACTCAATGATTATCAGTAATCCTAAAAATAAGTATATCACTTGGCCTATCAATTACATTCCTAAACATCAATGTTAAAGACTTACAGATATGAACAAAGAGTTAAGAAGTGTTAATTAAATACTTCTAAAAGAGAAAATAAAATAACCTATAAAATAATCCTACCACATAAAGAAAATAGTATTTTGGTATGCTTTACAGGCTTTCCCATGTGTATGTTTTTATGGGCACATGTGTGAACACACAATTTTTCTTTGTGTGTGTTTACATGTATACATAAAAATCACTCTAAGGGTGAGCAGATGGCATAGCGATTACATCGCTGGACTCCCACATGGCTGACCATGATTCATGTTCCAGACCTGATGGCTTCAAAAACATGCCAGGTGTGTGCCCAAGATCCTGGGAGGATAATAGAGGGGAAGGGACTACAGTATGGCCAGTCACTCCAGGGAGTGATTTCTCACGTTCCCTCTTATCATCTCTGCCTCTCTCTGGTGAATGCACATGCCCTGAAACAAAACCCCTGAGACTTCCCCTATACCTGCTGCCCCATACATGCATGACCTCAACTACTATCAACATATTCCATCAGAGTGGTACATATATTATACTTGGAAATCTTACACTGACACATTAGTACAGAAAACCCAGTTTATATTTGGGTTCACTCTTGGTGGTGTATCTTTTATGAGTTTAGAAACAGGTATAATGACATGTATTCACCACTGTAGTATGGAGAACAGTATTACTGTCCTAAGAAAAATCCTGGGTTCTAGGACTATTTATTTCTGCCTTCGCTCTCCAATCCCTCGTCTCTTCATTATCTCCAGTTTGCCTTTTCCAGAGCATGTTCTAGCTGGAATTGTATGTAGCCTTTCAGATTGGTTTGCTCTGCTTAGTAATACGAAGTTACGGTTCCTTTGTGTCTTGCCATAGCTTAGAAACTCATTTCCTTTTTAGCATCACATATTTCATTGTCTGGCTATACCAGAGTTGATTTATCCATTTGGTTACTCCAGGACATGTTAGCTGCTTCTAAGTTTTTGCAATTATGAATAAAGCTACAATAAACACCTGTGTACATGTTTTTGCATAGATACGTTTTCAACTACTTTGAACATTAAGAAGCAGGATAATGTTTTTCTCCATCAGTGGCTTGTCTTTTCACTCTTTGATAATGTCTTTCACAATGGAGAAAATTTCAGTGAAGATCAGCTTATGGAAGTCTTCTTTTAATAGAGTCTGTCTTTGGTGTTGTATCTAAAAATGTCATCACCAAATCCAAAGATATCTAGAATTCCTATGTTATTTTCTAGTTATTTTATGGTTCTGCATGTTTTAGATCTATTTAGAGTTAGTATTTTTGAAGAGTATAATGTCTGTGTCTAGATTCATTTTTTTTTTTTTGCATGTTCACATCCAGTTTTTGCAGAACTATCTGTTGAAAAGACTGCTTTTTCTCCATTGGACTGCCCTACCATATCTAATGGATACATTGGACAGGACAAGAAGAATTAAACTTTAAAAAATTAGAAATTAACTATTCCAAAAGAGAAAAGTAAAATGAACCATGGATAACCAAACCAATGATTTATAGGTCCCTAATTCCTCGCCTAACATCCAAATAATCACAAATGCACAATGGAAATAGTTTTGTATATCATTATGGGGGAAGCTAGTTCAAACATCCGTGATCTGAAACATTTCCACAACAGGACAATTGGTGCATTCATGTGGCATCTATGTGTATGTATAAATACAAGGTGCAGGAAGGGACTTTTAAGACAGATATAAATGCACATATAAATTATATTTAAAATTTTCCCTCTGAAATCAGTCCACCCATTTTTAAGACACATGTCTGTTCTTTAATGAAACACTAATGATGACAGTAGATGGTAACTGAATCTGTGTTTTAAAGGTACTTTGTTGGCAAAGCAAAAACCCTGAATTACTTTACACTATTTGCCAAATCTAAATGTGGAAAGCACTGCTTCAGAACAATTCTAGAGGATGTCAATAAAAGCTCCCCTAGGAATAGATCAGTGAGTAACACCAATAAGGTAAGGATATTCATGATGCTTCTATCATAGTGGGAAACAGATAATAAGTAAGCGAGCAAATATTTAAGAAAGCGTTTTTTGCAAAGGGCCCAGCAAGCATAGAGGAGTTTCTTGGGACCAGCAGTTGGTGTAATGGCTAGGTCGCTAGACTCCCATGTAGTCAACCTCAGTTCGAGTCCCGAGTGGCTTAAACTCACAACAGGTGCGTGTGCGTGCGTGCCCAAGATCCCAAGAGAAGAATGGAGAAGGGACTGCGGCGTGGTCCTCCCCCCTGGGGGCTGAATTCTCACTCTCTGTCTCTCTTTCCGGCAAGCACACACACCCTATAGCAAAAACCTCTCCAAAAAAAAAGTTTCTTTAAGAAAAACAAGTTGGGCTATGAGGCTGAGGTAAAAATAGCATGGACAGTATTCACACAGTGAGTAAGATAGACTGGCCCCTTAAACTTTTTCTAATTAATAATGACTTATTTTGTAAATTCTTAAATCAGGAACACCTATACAAATATTTAGTATAAAAACACATACAAAACTAAACATTTTTGCATAGAAAAATAAGTCAAGACTTTTCCGACGACCTAATACAAAATATCTGAGTACTGCTTTATCTCATGCTTACATCTGCCATTAACATAGGCAAACAGAAATATATAAGCACTTAACAGATTCTGTAAAGAAAGAGTATTGAACTGTGATCACATCTTACGTAGAGGTCATAAAGACTTGATACAAGAAAATCAAACCACCTAGATTTTCCTTGCCTCCTATATAGATAGATGCCTATCTAAAACGTTGTTTTACAAATTCTGTTTTCACATATCCATACATCAACAAAAGAATACAAATATCGACATCAAACATACCTTTGGTGAAATGATACTCTCCACACTGCTCTCTAAATTACATTCAAACACATGGGCTTTGGTTAGCTTCTTATCCCAATGGGCTGCCAGCCAAATTTTGGCCAGAGGCCCTCTTTTACTGAGGACAAAATGTGCGTAGAACATTGTTCTGATTGACTATGAAACAGAAGGAAACCTGGGGAGGAGAAAGTTAACATCAGTATCACATAAGAACTGAAATATTTACAGACACACATAAGAAATCTGAACAATTTCTTACTCTCTCTATATGAGAAATAGGAAAGGTCTAAGGACAAGAAAAAGACCCAAAATAATAAGGCTGAAAGGAAACGGGACAAATAGTCATTCCTTTCAAGCCTTGTCATCATCTTAAAATAAAAGTGCTAGCTTTTTTTTTTTTACAGTAAACATTATCATTAGAAAGCTCTTATTCTTGGGGAACCAGCAGTTAGCGCAATGGCTATGTCGCTGGACTCCCACGTAGTTGACCGCGGTTTGCGTCTCGGACCCGATGGCTTAAAACTCATGCCGGGCGCGTGTGCGTGCATGCCCAAGATCCCGAGAGGAGTATGGAGGAGAAGGTATTGCTGCGTGACCATCACCCCGGGGGGTGATTTCTCGCTTTCTGTCTCTATGTCTCTCTCTGTCTGGCGAGCGCATGCGCCCTACAGCAAAAACCTCTCAAACAAAACAAAACAAAAAAACAGTCTTTTTAAGGGCCCCAAACTAAAGATTAATCTTTCATGGTAAGAAAAGAATGTGGGAAGAAAGTTACCCAGGCACAGGTATTAATCAATGTGAAAATTTCTATTTTTAGAATGCCATTAAAAATGGAGGTTTTCAACTAAATACTCTGTAATAATAATTGTTATTCTGTGACAAATACTGCATTAAACACTTCATATTCCAGTAAGCAGAGCTATATAAGTGAGCTGGCCCCATGTTACAGATGGGTAGTTCAGGAAAAACTGAACCTCACCTCAAACAAACAAACAAACAAACAAACCAACAACCTGAACCAAAAACCTAACTTAAGAACTTGAAAAATATGTCTGCTTAAAATTTACATATTAAATCTAGGACAATGGTATAATGCCAAAATTTATTTTGTGATTAAAATAATTATAAGCATGAGATCGATACTTTACTTTTTTTCCAACAAACTAATTAATTATACTGAGAAAAGAAGTCTGAAAACCCATTTGGAAGATTACATTAACAGTGTCTAAGTTATTGTTTCCCTTATATTATTTAACTTCCCTCTTTCACATAAGATTTAAATCAATTTTATCAAGTGAATTTCTTTCTTTTTAAGAAACATTCATGATAAAAGTCAAATGTACCACAGTAAATGAAAAGTACTTAAATTTTTAAATTCTTATTCTGAAGGAATTAAATTCTCAGGGAGTTGTAAAAATGGTATAGAGGTCTCATGTATGCTTTACCCCGTTTCCCCCATGGTGACATCTTACCTAACTATAATAACCATCTCAAAACCAAGACACTGACCTCAATGCATACGTATAATTCTACACCATCTTATTCACAAGTGGAGATTTGTATAACCATCACCACAAGTAAGATACAGAACTATTCTATCTACACGAAGATCTGTCATACTCATCCTACTATTGCTCCTACTATTCTTAAGCCTTGGCAACCACCACTCTGTTCTACATTCATAGTTTTGACATGAGAATGTAATATAAATGTAATCATATAGCATGTGAATGGCTTTCTGTACACCATGCTCTTAAAATTCATCGAGTTGTCACACTTACCCAATAGTATGTTTCTTTTTATTGCTGAGTAGCTTTCTATGCCATGGATATACCACTGCTTGCCCCCAGCTTTTGGTTATTACAAACAGAAAGCTGCTGGGGCCAGCAGATGGGTATGATGGTTAGGGCACTGGACTCCCACATGGCTGACTGCAGTTTAAGTTCCAGACCTAGAGGCTTGAAGGTCACACTGGGCACGTGTGCATGCCTGAAATCCCAGGAGGAGAATCCATAGCATTTTGGCCATTCTCCTCCCTCATCAACGCCCCACCCCCACCCTGGGGTGGTGTGGGGGTGGGGGGGATAATTTCTTACTTTCCCTCTCACTGTTGTCTCTCTGTCCTTTCCTACTAGCACAAGCACCCTATGGCAAAAACAAAACAAAACAAAATAAAAATAAAACACCCTACAATAAACAAATAAAATAAAAACTGCTAAAAATATTCATAGAGACTTTTTTTTTAAACTTGCCAGAGGCTGTGACATACTCACTAGAAACAATAAGAAAGGGAAAGGGAGAAAAAGCACCTCCCCACGGTGGTGTGGTCACAACACAATTCAGTCCCTATTTATCCATCCAATTAGGATTTGAGGAATGAATGCACAAAGTTCAGTGTTTTTTTCAAGTTGTTAGGGTCAGGATTTGAACTATGTGGTTGGCCAAGTCAAATCTAGCTTTCTTAACCAGCAGACCATGAAGCTGGCCATTATGTGTAACTTTTCTTTTTGTAGATTTTTGCCATAGTGTGTACACGCTTGTCTGAGAGATAGGGAGAGGGAAAATAAGAAATCATCCTTAGGGGAATGGCCACACTGTAATTCCTTCTCTTCTGAAGATTTTGGACATGCATACACATGTAACTGGGGTGATTTTTCAAGTCTCTGTATCTGGGGCTCAAACTGAAGTTGGCCACGTGGGAATCCAATGCCTTCACCACCATGCCACCTGTTGACCCCTGTACAGACCTTTTTTTTTGCTATAGGGTGTGTGCGCCTGCCAGAAAGAGAGAGACAGAAAGACAGACAGAGAGCAAGAAATCACCCCCCTCCTCCCGGGGGGATGGCCACGACGCAATTCCTTCTCTTCCATTCTTCTCTCAGGATCCTGGGCACACACGCACATGCAACCAGCATGAGTTTAAGCTACCAGGTCCGGGACTTAAGCCGCGATCAGCTATATGAGAGTCCAGAGACATAGCCATTATGCTAACTGCTGGTCCGACCCCCTGTACAGACTTTTGATGAACAGAAATTTTTATTTCTCTGAGTCCAATGTCCCAAAGTGACTGCTGAGAAGTTTAAGTGTATGTTTAACTTTTAAAAAAATGTTAACACTAACGTCTAAATCTTAGGTTTTTATTTTTTACAATTAGAGACCACAAAAATAAGAGCAACTGATTGCCCCAAACCTCATCCATTATGTAAAAATGAATAAAAATAGATAATAGGCTTAAACGTAAAATTATGAAGCTTTTAGGAAATAAAAAGGGGCACTAGCACATGGTGTAATGGTTACACTGCAGGATTCCTACATAGTAGACCACAGTTTAAGTCCTGGATCTGGAGGCTTAAAACTTACACCCGGTGTGTGTGTGTGTGTGCGTGCCCAAAATCCCGAGAAGAGAATGGAGAAGGGATTGTGGTGTGGCCATCTCCCCTGCGGGGAAGGGGTGATTTCTCATTTTCTTTCTCCCTCTCTCAGGTGAGCACATGCACCCCATAGTAAAAGAATCTCTTAGAGAAAAAAGAAAACTCCCAACATCTGAAGCTTGGTAACAGTTTTTAGACATGACACCAAAAACAACCTATGAACGAAAAGTTCTCAATAAATTAGCCTTTGGAGCCGGCAGGTGGCATGGACAGGCTGGACTGCCACATGGGTTGAGTCCTGGACCCGGGGCTTGAAACTCACGCTGGGTACATGTACATGCACACCCAAAATCCAAAGAGGAGAATGGAAAAGGATTGTGGCATGACAATTCCCCTCCCCCCCCCCCCCCCCGGGGGGGGGGGTCCTTCGTTTTTCC